GGGACAGGGACAGTGGACTGGACAAAGGGGACTTGATACCTACCTTTTATAAGAGAATGAATTTATGGATGACTGTAAAATTAAAAACTAACTTCCTCAAAGAAAAGCATACACTTTGGAGGCAACCGGGATACTTTAACACAGATTCATTATTAGGTGATATTGAAGAATAACATTTTGTTAGGTGAGATCAGCATTTTGTAATTTTGTCCGTCTGTTTTAAAAAGACTTCTTGAGGCTGGCCAATTAGCTCACTTAGTTAGGGGATGGTGCTGATTAACACCAAAACAAAAACAACAGCAACAAAAAGACTCCTTATCTGTTGGAGAATTTATGGGCAAAATGATGTGATGCCTTGGATTTTCTTTAAAACATTCCAGGAAAACAAAATGGCAAAAATGATAAAATAAGCCTGACAAAGTGTAGCTAATTGCTGAAGTGGAAAAGGGAGACTCATTATACTATTACTATGTACATTTAAAATTTCTCTATCTCTAATGAAAATTTTAAAATTAATTTTTAAAATAGTTAAAAAACCAAGGGCACACATATGACAGGGAAGGAGGAAGAAGCAGTCCCAGGTGTAAGGTGGCCCAGGACGGGTGTTCACCTGGTGAGGTGTGAGCACCTTGAGGGCCAGAGAGTCTCTGCCCCACTGTCATAGGCCCTCAGCAAAGCACTCGCAGTCCCTAGATCTGCTTCTCCCTCCGTAACCAGGGCTGCCACGCCCCTGCCTGCAGAGAGTTTTCATCCACACTCCTTGTGTGGGTCTCAGAAGTAAGTGGAAGAGGGGCCGAAGAGCTTGATGAAAGTGATCCCCAACTGCCATCCAGGTCCCCGCAATCTTCCTCTGGGACGACCGACTACGTGCTGGCACAGGGGCTGGTAAACCCTGTCACCTGTTTTTATAAATTAAGTTTTATCAGTGCATGGCTGCACCCATTGGTTTCTGTAGCTGCTCTCAAGCTACATCAGCACATGTCCTGCAAGGCTGAAAATATTTCCTTTCTGGTCTTTTACAGAAAAGGTTTGCTGACCCCAGGCCAGAGTGATACCTGGAGCACAGGCACATCAACAACAGCATGAAAAGAGAAGTCCACACTTTAATTCACGGGCCTAAAGGAAGCCCTGCCAGGAAAGCCTCTGGAAATAGGGGACATGGCTTCAACAGGAGCCAGGGTGGGGTCTCAGCAAGCAAACCCTCGGTCCCACATAGCCCACAGATGAGTTTTATTCAACCTACATAGTACTTTATTACACAAACAAAACACATTGCCAACATTTAAAAAGTAAAAGATTTCACATAAAAACCCAAACACTCAGCTTTCCCTAAAAAGCAGCACACGCTCCTGGTTCTCCATGTTCCCTGTCATTCGCCACGCCACCATCCATCCCAATCCTTTCTCTCACTTATGTTACATCCTGTGCAGCGTTTGGGTTTGGACTCCTGGTATAAAGAGTTTCCTGCCAGAGAGAGTCAAGTTACCACCCGGAATCAGAGCCAGTGCCCACGACACTGGGGGCAGAGCCATGGAGAAGAGGAAGGGGCACTCTCAACAACAGTTGGGGGTCCTGTCCCAGGCTAGAGGAAACCAGATGGAGGAGACAGCCCCCAAGGGTCCCCAGGATAGCCCAGCTAGAAAGAAACTGGGAGATCCTGACACTGGCCCTGCCCTCTACAGCTAGGAGTGTAGCACTGGGGAGGGGAGGTGACCTGGCTGAGGCCACAGGTCAGGAGGCCCCAGAGCAACAGGAGGGTAGGTCTCGGGTGGGGGAGTTCCTCCTGCCTGGAGTGAAGGAAGCTGAAGTCAGATGGGAAGGCAGTGGGTCAGCTGAGAACTACCAAGGCATCTCACCTGGGTTTTCGTGACTGACCATCTGCTGGTCCTCGGAATCCAGCGGCCCTGGAGACCAGGCCTCTTCCCGCAGCTCCATATCTGGGTCCCTGCTGGGAAGGGATGAGATAGGACAGAGTTTACAGGATGCCAGACTCACTAAGGGTACCCTGAATGCCAGGCACAGGACGGACAGACAGGAGGCCAGCAGCACGCACCTGAGGGACAGATTAGCAAGAGATGGCCCTGGAGCTCATGTGGCCCTTCTCCTCACTGGAGGGGGACCGACAGAGGCCATGTACAACCCCATGGGAGGAGCTCAGCTCCAGGAATTGCCCAGGCTGCAGTTGCCTGGCAGGTTCATGCCAGTCCTTCAGCTGGGACCTGGGGCAAGTGGTTCTACCTCCATGCCCTCAGTTTTCTCATCAGCAAGAGGGAGGACAACAGCAGCACTATCAAGTTTAAACAAAACTATGCACATATGAATCTCTTGCCAGAGTGGAGGATCCTAAATAGTAATGAAAATCCCCATGCCCCTGTGGCAGCACACTGGCCCCTCACAACAGGGTTACATGCGCAGCTAGCACACAGGAGGGGCTCCAGGTGCCAGGCCCCTTTCTAAGGCCTTTCAAGCACCAAATGATATCAACCCAAGCTGATGCGCAGGCAGCTTAGGTAAGTGGCTGAGGCTTTGGTGAGCGCATGCCTTGTCCAAGGAGTTCACGCTCTAATTTCTCTTTCAAAGCGTTATGAGTCGCACGAGGCTGGGTGGGGCAGGCTCCTGACACCAGCCACACCAGGGGCCTGGGAAAAAACAAGTAACTGGCCACACAGGGCATCAATGCTCAGGCAGGTAGCCACACAACTGTGACATTCAGGAATGGAGGGAACTTGGATCACTGCATGGGATCAAGGAATGGCAGGGCCACCAGGTAGAGCCGTGGCAAACATCCACTCCCCAGGTTTCCAAACACTGGGATCTCATAAAACAGGGGAGTTTCAATAAAACTTGGTGGGGTGGGGGGGGCCTGACACAGGGCTGCCAACTTCTACAACAAAATAAGGGCAATTAAAAACAATGGTTTTGGGCCGGCCTATGGCTCACTCGGGAGAGTGCGGTGCTGATAACACCAAGGCCACGGGTTCGGATCCCATATAGGGATGGCCGGTTCGCTCACTGCCTGAGCGTGGTGCTGACAACACCAAGTCAAGGGTTAAGATCCCCTTACCAGTCATCTTTTAAAAAGTAAATAAATAAATAAATAAAAATTAAAAAAAATAATAAAAACAATGGTTTTAAATCCCACCTCCCATAATAGGGATTTGTGGATCGGATCACTGAATTCCCCAGGCAACAGCAGGAGGCAGGAGTTCTCAGGGGAAGACCACAGGGCAGAGAATGAAGCCAGGGAGAAACCTGCCCCAAGGCACAACCTGCCAGGGATAGTCAGGGATCATATCCCAAAGCCTACTCTTTTTTCAAAAAAACAGTTTTGAGATACAATTCCCCTACCACACAACTCTCCCTTTTAAAGTATATACAATGCAATGGTTTTTAGTATATTCAGTTTTGCAACCATCAAAACAACCAATTTTGGAATTTTATCATCACCCCAAATAGAATCCATACCCATTAACAGTAGCTCCCCACTCCCACTCCCCCAGCCCCTACAATCACTAATCTGCTTTCTGTCTCTATGGATTTGCCTGCAGGGTATATTTCATATAAATAGAATCATAAAAATTTTGGCCTTTTGTGTCTGGCTTCTTCCATTTAACAATGTTTCCAAGGTTCATCCCCACCATAGCATGTGTCAATACTTCATTCCTCTTTATGGCTGAATAATATCCCATTATATGGACGGACCACATTTTGTCTATTCATTCATCCACTGACGGATGTTTAGGCTGTTTTGACTCATAAATAATCTTGCTATGAACATCTGTGTTTGTGTGGGCACACGAACTGCTCCAGTGCCCACGCTTAACCCCTACTCAATTGTACTATGTTGGGGAGGGAATATCCCCTTCCCCAGCCCCCTACCCCTTGCTGGTCTTCAATGATCAGGCTCTTGTCCACTCCCCACTGCAGCACAGACAGCCCAACCTTCCTCTTGCTGCTCTAGGCCTGACCTCCTCCAGGCTACAGAGAGGTGCAGAGTCAAGCAGGGTTTGCCCTGCATCTGGGACTCCATGGATGGGGTGGGGAGATGGGGAGATCTGTGCAGCACCCCAGCCCCAGGCAGGCTCTTCAATTCTGCTTTTATCAGAGCTGTGCAGGGGGAATTGGAGGACATGCAACTTGGTCAACCATTGGCAAGGCACATGGCCCCATTCCCTGGTGTGACCTTACTCCCTGGCAGATAGGACTCCTGATAAGCAGCAGCATCCCAGCACCAAAAACACCAGAAAAGGAACCCAGGCCAGTCAGCCTATTAGGCTAAATGCATGCAGCTCTGAGGAATTCTCATCCTACATCCTTCCATCTCTCATTCCAAAACGGGAAAAATGTCACCACAAGGTAGCAGGGGTCTGTGGACCAGCATCTGGGAAGGCAGGTGCTTCTATGCCCCTGAGCATCGCCCAGCTTCTTGGCATGACTTGACTGACCCGATTTTCTCAAATCCCTCCAGTGAGGGGCTCACCACCATCCGGGCACTGAAGGAGCTTGCTCCACTGTCGGGTGGCATCAACCCACCCCTCGGTAACCTCTACTATCACCTTGGAGCTGTCTGATGGGAATTTGGAGAATGTGCCTATTAAATAAATAAATGTGCACATATGTGCCAAGGGGTCACTCGGGTAACCCTTGGACCCCCCACTTCACAGGCTCCAGGTCCTGCTCTAAATGGTTTATAAGCCATTAATGATTTTGAGCCACTACAGCCCTCTGGGTAGGTACCACTGTTGACCCCATAATGTAGATGAGGACACTGAAGCCCAAGACCTCTCAGGCGGGGCAGGAGGAGAGCAGAGCCATAATCTGGATGCAGACTACTGGGGCCCCAAGCCTATGTCCAGAACCATCCATTGCCGCCACTTGGTATTTCAACCCAGCCCACCCAATAAGAACCCCTCTCCGATAGTTACGGAGAACTGCTAATATTCTACTCAAATCCCAGCTCCAGGACATGCAGGCCCATCCTTTGGGTGTTCTCACTGAACACGTACAAGGGCCAGGAGACAAAAGGGTAACCCAGAGGGACCTGATACTGCCCAGCAGCACTCTCGGAACAACAGGGAGGACAGATACTTGTTCATCCAGCACGTATGGAGCAACTCTCACAAGCTCGACCTGGGTGCCCAGGTCCTGCATCAAACACAACAGATCAGACCTGCCTGTGGGGAACGGACACTGCACTAGGCACTTTCTCCCAATCAGATATCACTCTGCATTAATGTGCTGTGTAAGGCAAGGAACAGAAACACAGAGAGAAAAGTCGCTGGCCCAGGCAACACACCTTTGGTAGAGGGACAGGGACTGAGATGCAGACAGTGTGGCACAGAGCCCTTGCCCCTTCCAGCTCTTCCATCCTGACATTCAATAAACCATTACAAGGACCTTGTAAAAGCTTGGAGTGCAACGAAAAGGTCAGCGAAACCTGTATGCTGGGTGAGGAGGCCTGAGGAGGAGCCTGGCAGGGCCAGGGCACCAGTTGAACCGGGACTCTGCCCAGGAGGGCACAGCCTGCCTGCAAACTGACCATCCAGGATATTGAGTAAGGGGACAGAAGGTGACCAATGCAGAGCACTGAAACAAGCAGCTTGTGGGAGTGGAGCAGGTCAGCAAGACTTTGGCTGTGAAGTGGATGAGCTCAAGTCAGAGACCTTAGCGGGGGCAGACGATGGTGCCCAGGCCCTAGTGCATGCCCATCAGCCTCATACCTGAGCAAATGGAGACCCTGAGAGGTCCAAGGCCCTTCTCACAGCTGGTCAGCAGAGGGCCAGGCCAGGACTGGCCCTAGGACATCTCTCAGCCACGTAGCCCTTGTCTCCCACCAGCCCAGCCGGCTCGGCCCCCTCAGCTGTGTCACTCCAGGGCGCCTGGAGCATCCTGTGTAAGTGATTAGACCTGAACAGGGTCCTGACATGGGGATGGTCCCAGGGTCGCTGAGGAAAGGACACAGAAGGGCACTCTGAACCAGCCCCACAGCCCCACCTGCTGCTTTTGATCCCTCCCCAGCCTTAGCTTCTCTCTCTGTAAAATGGGAATAACGGTAACCAGCCATACTAATTACAGGATTCATTTCCCCACCACCTCATTTGGTCTTCATTACAGCCTATGGAGAAAAATAAAGCAGGGAACAACACTATTAGTCTCATATAGCCCACACACAGGGCTGGTGGGGTGCTCAGTTCATTTCCCACACTGTTGACATAATCCTTTCTCCCTGCCCGTCCCTGTCACCCTAGGTGCTGGTCCTGACAAGGGAGACACCATAGCCCCTGCATCATGGGGAGGCTCCCACCAGCGGAGGAGACAGATGAGGACAAAGCACAAGAATGAAAAAGGTCATTTCAGACAACGGAAGCACCATAAAGAAATGCACCAAGGAGAGGGGAAGAGGGAGGGGATATCTCTGTCAGGGAGGTCTGGAGTGGGTCTCCAAGAAGGAGGCGTCACAGGAACAGGCCTGAGTGGGAAGCGTGGAGGGGAAGGTTGGCAAGCCGCAGGGACAGACGATGGGTGCCTAGGCCCTGAGACAGACACAGACCTGGTGTATTGGGGACAGTGAAGAGAGGGCAAAGATGTTGGGGGGTGGTGAGAGGTGAGGGATGGGACAGCTCCCACAGGGCCTACCTAGTAGGCTAAGGGGAGGACTAGGAGTCATTAGAAATGCAGGAGTCCCCCTGAGGTGGGCACTGTTATGACACCTATTTACAGATGCAGAAAGTGAGGCTCACAGAAATAGGCAGGGCCAGATCCTGAGGGTCCCTTGCAGTACTTGAATAGCAGCAACTAGGATGTTCATAGCACTGGCTGTACCAGGCACATGGCTACAGGGACTTCTAGGAGATTTGTGGCCGCTCAGGAGAGGCAAAGTCACTGAAAGAAACTCTACTGGGGGCCCTCTTCCTCTGGGTCCCCAGGTTTGAGGTAGGCATCACCTCCTCAGGTACCCCCTGCCTCCAATCTACGTCCTCATTCTCCCCTCCTACCCACCCCTTCCCCTGCCTCCTTTCTCTTCCTAACACCTGCCACTTTTGCGTCTCTGCTCAGTTGGTCTGTCCTCTCTGCCCCCACGATGTCAGCACCCAGCCTGATATATGTGCGATCCCGAGCACCCACAGCAGCACCAGGAACATGCAGGGACCCTCAGAGAACGGTCAGGTGAATATACAAATGAATGGATCTGAACAAAGCAGAGGCTTGAGAGACAGGATGCAACAAATCCCAACACTCAACCCATCCTCGGACTCTTCTTAGGAAGAGGCAAGAACCACATGGGAAGGATAAACAGACTTCCCCTAAGACAGATACAAGCAAGTCCCCAAAATCACTGGGAGTTAGAGCTGAACAGTTCGGCTTAAACTTGCACAATTTGGCAGTGCAGCTTGGGAGCCATAAATGTGCTTGTAGGCCCTGACTCTGTAACTCTACTTCTCCAGAAGCTACTCTCTGGGGAAACCCCAAATCTCAGGAAATGCTTCTTGTGGGAAAACAGAAAAAGTTCATCACAGCAAGGTTTAGAACAGGGGAAAACTGGAAAGAACCCAGCAGTCCAATGCTGGGAAAAAGTAAATCACATGGCATCTACTCCATAGAAGGTTAGACATCCATCAGAAATATTAAGACACCACAAATAGTGGCCACCTCGTGCTCATGATAGAGTGATTTTAACTTTTCTTTTTACCTTCATTTCCTTCTTTTTTTTTTTTACAATAACAGATAATTACTTCTGTAATAAGCGAAAAAGACTAAAGGCTGATTTTTTTTTTTTTTTTGACATCCATAGGACTATGTACCAAAATGGGCAAACCACTGGGTGCTAAGATGGGACAAAGCAGGTGTATGACAGCAGGGTGCCACCCCAGAACATGCCCCTCTGGCATAAGGGTTATTTTAACCTAAAGGCACTTGAAAAATAGCAGATGCAAGAAGAATGTTCTAACTTCCTCTTTTCATCGTGAAAGCAGGATAAACTCCCACGTGAAACATGCCCTCCCTGTACCAGGAGGAAGAAAGATGTTCTTATCACCAGAGACTGGGAATAGAGGCCAAGAGACATCTGTACAGACAAACCTTATTAAAATAACCCTTATCTGCCTTAGGCCTCCCACCCCCGTACATTTTAGTTATTTTTCCACAACTGCTACTCTTTGTTCAACGTAGCATAAAAGCACTTAGGCCTAACCACTTTTGGAGTCTTTATTTTCCTGTGAAACCTCCCATGCATGTAAAAATAAAATTTGTGTGCATTTCTCCTGTTAAAACTGTCTTATGTCAACTTAATTCTCAGATGCAGCTGGAGACCCTAAGAACAGAGAGGAAAAGTTTTGCCTCCCCAACACAGGATACAAAATTGTACAGGCGCACAGATATACCACTGTAAACATTAAAAATGCATAAGGAGAACCTTCACACCCTGCTGATGGGAATGTGAAATGGTACAGTCACTTTGGAAAACAGTCTAGGTGATTAAACATAATTACAACATGACCCAGCAGTTCCACTCTTAGGTTTCCACCTAAGAGAAATGAAAACATTCATCCATACAAAAAGCCGTACACGAATGTTAATGGCAGCATTATTCATACTGGCCAAAAAGTAGGAACAAATGCTAAGTGAGAGAAGCCAGACACAAAGGGCCACATATTGTATGATTCCATGGATACAAAATATTAGAACAGGTAGATCCACAGAGACAGAAAGCAGATTAGTGGTTGCTGCAGGTGGGGGTGGGAATGGGGAGTGACTGCTTAATAGATATGAAATTTCTTTGGGGTGGGTGATGAAATCATTCTGGAATTAGATAGATCATGGTCACAGAACTTTGTGAATACATTAAAAACCACAAAACTGTACACTTTAAAAAAGTAAATTTTATGATATGCAAACTTCATCTCTATTAGAAAGTAAATAAACTTTAAAAAATTGTCCAGCCCCTCTGATTACAACACTGTCAACATTAAAAATGCATAAGGAAAGAAGGAAGAGAGTTGCCTAGCACACCCAGGGGCTGAGGGTGGGAAGGGAGAAGCTGCTCCTCTACCTCCTTTTCTTTGTTGGAATTTGTTTGCCAAGTGGTGATAATGTGGTTCCACTGAAATGATAAACGTGGAACTCTATAAAAGCAGGGACTTCCCAGCTCAGAGCCTCCCCTGGCCTCCACCTCAGGCCCAGCTTCCTGGAGGGAGAAGGCCTCACCAGGCCTCAGGCAGGCAGAGGGGACGGGGTGAGTCGCCTCCACTTACCTCCTCTCATCTGCAGAATGACCCGCCCTTACCACATGAGAATGTCATTCATTCACTCAGCAGGTGACCTACCTCCAGCCAGGAGGCAGCGGCAGGGGCAGCGAGGAAACACATGGAAACAAATGTGATTCCTGAGGGTAGTAGGAACCAGGAAGAAAGTAGGGCAGTGAAAGCAGGTGGTGGGGCTGACCTTGAGGTAGGATGGCTGGAAAAGGCCTCTCTGTAGGACATACAGGAGAGTCAGCAGACTGGCCCACCCACCCATAAACTGCCCTCCAGCTAGGAATAGTTTTTACATGTTTAATTGGTCACATTTTAAATGACATCTAAATACCTACATGAATGACAGCCTCGACTTTGCCTATTGGCCCATAAATCCTAAATTATTTACTATCTGGCCCATTATAGAAAAAGTTTGCTGACCCCTGATATAAAGGAACAAGGGGTACCAAGATAAGGGGAAAGCTTTTCAGGCTGAAGAAGAAGTGAGCCTGAGGAACGGCAGGGAGGAAGCTGAGCACCTGGGATGCACAAGGGAGGGAGGAAGGGGGGAGAAAGGACTGGCTGCAGGGCTCAAGCCCAAGGCAGCCAGTTGGAAGAAGGCCCATGCTCTGCGGTTGCTGCCCCAAAATTCTTGACCACTTCATCTTTGAATCCATGTTTTATAAGTGAGGTCCAATGAGACACGGGAGCAGGCGCCAGGGGCTTGGGCTCAGGCTCCATCCTGCTTCCCCAGCCCTCCACCTCTGGTCAGAACCAGGCACAAGTAAGGCCTGCACCCACCCTATAGGGTAAACACCAAAAACACCCTGGCTGATTGAGAGAGACCTTGGAGAAAAGGAAAAACCTTTTCTTCCTGCCTTTTTGCACAATGAGCCCCATATCTTCACTTTGCATTGGTGTCCACAAATACATTACCAGCTGGGACTATGGGTAGAAGAGGTTCAAGGGGGCCAGACCACAGCAATCTGGATGTGCAGCAGCGAACAGAACTTTACAAAGGCTTTACTGAGATGCATCTTCTTACATTCTCATTTCTGAGCAGGTGGTGACCTGGGGCAGGGCACATACTGCTCCGCATCCCACCTTCCTGCTCTGAGTGGAGGGAGATGCTGACACCTACCAAAGAGATCTGAAACAGACAAGCTGGGTGAGAACACTTGGCCCAGCACCAGGTGCAAACGCCGTCTCTTCACTGTGAAGTCTCCCCACGTGGCAGTGTCAAGCTCTGGCTTGGAAGCCGCACCCTGAAGCAGTGGTGACTGTTTCCCTCTGGGCCTCGGGTGCCTCCTTTGTAAGGGGACAGGAACAGTAGATGCCTTATAGAGTTGGGTGAGGATTAAATGAGTGGATGCTTGTAAGGATTAATCAAGAATTCCTGCCAAAAGTTTAAAAGGGTGTTCACTAATGTTACCCAGTTCTCTTCCTCTCCCATTCAATCATCTATCCATCCATCCATCCATTCATTCATTCATCCCAACAGCTGCTGAGTCCTCTTGGCCCAGTTCTACAGACTTTGCGCCCTACCCTCAGAATCTCATAGTTTTGGGGGTGGGGTGTTGCAGACCCCCATCTACAGAGGAAAGCACAGAGAGAGGAGGGTGCACCAGGAGTTGTGGGGGTCCAGGGCAGCTCCCTGGAGGAAAAGGGCCCCCACTTGCTCTCAACAAAACCCTGGGCAATTCAAGGAATCCACCTGATGTTTGGGAATTTAACAAGTTCCGAATCAGAGAGCTGGTGGGCCCCTGACCCGTTCTTGACCACCCCACTCCCTGCCTGCTCTCCTCAGTTCACCAATTTCTCAGTCACAGTGGTTCTGCCACAGGTGACAGCCACAAGGCTAAGCTCCGCCCTCCTGTCCTCGCAGCAGTATACAGACTTTGCGCCCTACCCTCAGAATCTCATAGTTTTGGGGGTGGGGTGTTGCAGACCCCATCTACAGAGGAAAGCAGAGAGAGAGAAGGGTGCACCAGGAGTTGTGGGGGTCCAGGGCAGCTCCCTGGAGGAAAAGGGCCCCCACTTGCTCTCAAGAAAACCCTGGGCAATTCAAGGAATCCACCTGATGTTTGGGAATTTAACAAGTTCCGAATCAGAGAGCTGGTGGGCCCCTGACCCGTTCTTGACCACCCCACTCCCTGCCTGCTCTCCTCAGTTCACCAATTTCTCAATCACAGTGGTTCTGCCACAGGTGACAGCCACAAGGCTAAGCTCCGCCCTCCTGTCCTCGCAGCAGTATCTCACCTTGCTCTGACCTCCACTCTGAGATGAAGGAGGGGAAGGGTGCCCTCCCCTCAGCCCACCCCAGCCCGGGCCCTTGAGCGATCCAATTAGCAGACGGATCTGACAGGGCTATTAAGCTCAAGACAAATTATTGTTATTATTGTTGTTATGAGGTCCCGCCTACCCCCTCTGGATGCCTGCCTGCCAATTATCCCCTCTCTTTCTTCTGCTGCCAACCTCACCTCCTCCTCTCCAAGCTGGCAAGGTTCAAGGCTCTCTGCTGCTTGGAAGCAACTCCTCCTGGTACCGCTGGTCCTCCGGCTGCCCTCTGTCCCACATTCTTCTCTCGCACCCACTTGCTTTCACCCCACCCCTCACCCCATCTCTCTCTCTTACTCCTTTCCTCCAACAGCAGATTTGAATATGGATTTCCACCTCCTTTACTCACCTCTCAGTCATTCTCACCTCTCAATTAACAAACACCCTCTCAGACTTTTCAGTCACCAAATCCTGTGGCTACTTCTCAGCTTTAGCTCCCATGATTTCCCTGCAGCAAAGACAAATGAACACATGCACACCTGAACCCTACACACCCTCCCTTCCTGGAGGGGCCCAGGTGCCCAGGACACAGCTCTCCCCCTCCAAGTCCCCCTTTCCTTCCTGCGATGAGGGCTCTTTCCCTTTCCTGCCTCCCACCTCCTCCCATCCTCTCTCTCCTCTCCCAATTCCCACTCCCTTGGGGCCTTTGCTCCCTCCCTCCACCATCCTGGCTCCCACATTGCCCCTCTGAAGTCTCTTCCCCATACCACAGACCAATTAATCTTTGTAAAAAGTCACTCAGTTCAACAACCCAATAAAAAACTTGGCAAAGGATTTGAGCAGGCACTTCTCCAAAGAAGCTATACAAATGGCCCGTCTTGTCATAAGCACATGACAAGATGCTCTACATAATTAGCTATCACAGAAATGCAAATCAAAACTGCAAGGAGATACCACTTTACACCCACTGGGCTGGCTATAATAAAAAAAGAAAACACAAAAATGTGGAGAAATTGGAAATCTTGCGCACTGCTGGTGGGAATGTAAAATGGTGCAGCCACTCTGGAAGACATCCTGCAGGTCCTCAAAAGACTGAGCACCGAAATTACCATATGACCCAGCAATTCCACATACGTATAAGTATATACCCAACATAAGTGAATACATATGTCCACACAAAAATCTGTAGAAAAATGTACATAAAATCATTACTCATAATAGCCAAAAAGTGGAGACAACCCAAATGCCCATTAACAGATAAATGGATAAACAAAGTGTGATACAGCCATGGAATGAAATACTATTCAGCCATAACAAGGAATAAAGTTCTGACACACGCTACCACATGGATCAACCTTGAAAATGTTATGCTCATTATACTCAGTAAAATAAGCCAGAGAAAACTACATGTTGTGTGATTCTATTTATACAAAATATCCAGAATAGGAAATCTATTAAGAAATAAAGTGGATTAGTGGTTCCCAGGGGCTGAGAACAGGGGAAGGGGAATGATTACTTAATGGGTAGAGTTTCTTTGGGGGATGTTAAAAATACTCTAGAATCAATTGTGGTGATACATGCACAATTCGGTGAATATACTAAAAACCACTGAAGTGTATACTTCAAATGGGCAAATTGTACCATACGGGAATCATATCTCAATAAAGCTGTTATTAAATACAACAAAAAGCAACTCAGTTCACATCACTTTCCTGACTAAACCGCACATGCCTGCTGCACTTAGTCCAAAATCCGAATTCCTTCCCAGGCCCTGCACAGCCCCAATCTGGCCCAGCCCCCTTGATCTCACTGCCCACTTTTGCTGTTCCTGGCCAGGTCTGGTCTTTTTCTCTAGAGAGCCCCATCCCTGGTCAGCCCCTGGTTCTCCCACCCACCCAGCTCTTTCTCACCTTTAAAGGGCCTTGTCAAATGTCAGCTCCTCCCTACCACCCAAGCCTCACTCCACATCACATGGCAGGGTTTACTTCCTTCCCAGTGTCATCACTACCTTTTCTATTTCCTTCCTTAGGGTCTGTCTGCTCCTGGGCACTAAACTCCCTGAGGGCAAACACCAGGTGTGAAAGGCACCTGCCCTCCCAGTATTCGTGGCTAATGCCCAGAACCCACTGACTGGATGGAAGACCACCAGTGCAGACCAGGCCTCACTTCAGATCCCTCTTCAGCCTACTGCACCGTCTCCTCTGCTCCTTTCCTTTGGCACTGCAACAAGTGGCTCTGGATGCCCACAGAGCAGCCCCTCTGCTCTCCTCACTTCCCTTTTCTGTGGGCGGCTTCATCCTTCACTCCAGGCTTGAAAATCCCATTCTCCTTCCCTCCTGTGCCTCCTACCTAGATTCTCTGAGCTGGGTGGGGTAAAGTCTACACAATGTCCCACATTAAGTGCTCAGCCCTGGGGCATGGCTTGACTGCGCTGGAGACATCTCTGTGACACCACCTGGATGTGATGCCTGCCTCTCCTGGGGGGTGGAAGTAGGAGCTCTTTGGCAATCTTTTCTGCTTATCCTATAGTGATTTGTCTGTGGAGATTCTTCTGTCGCATCTGGAGCCAGTTCAGGTAGATCACAATCCCCTAGAATATCATCTGCACTTCATTCAAATTTTCAGGTGTACCTTACAATCCTCTGCTGTCTCCCCTTTCTCTCTTTCCCTCGTAGGGCTCTCTCCCTCTTTTCTTCCATGAGGTTAGCTAATGGGACATCTATCTCATTGCTTTATTTGTTCCCAATCACCTCATATCTGAATTAGTGCAGCAGCTCCCCTAAGGTCTCCCTCAAGTCTCCCGCCTCACACACTTCCTCAGGACAAGGTCAGTGTCAACCTGAGGCCAGCAAGGGCCAGTTTGGTGTATAAAATAAATGCAGTTAGGGCAGGAACAGATCACAGCCCAGCCCCTATGCCCCACTTTCTCCAGGAGAAAGACTTCTAGAACATCTAGAACCTTAATCTTCTGTCAAGGCTGCAGCCCATCTGGGAGTGGCAGGGGCTGTGCAGCCAGCACAATGTACACTGTGGACTCTGGGTGACTATGATGTGTCCACATAAGTTCATCAATTGTAACAAATGCACTGCTCTGGTGTGACACATTGACAGTGTGCTGTGCATGTGCAGGGACGGGGGTACAGGGCAAATCTCTGTGCCTTCCACTCACTTGTGCTATGAAAATAAAACTGCTCTAAAAATAAAGTCTTTATTTAAAAAAAACAAAAACAGATAAACAAAATACACCCACAGGCCACTCTACATTCTGTCACCCCTCCATTGGGCCCAAAGGGCAGACTGGCCATTTTCTGGATGGGTGTGGACTCTCCCACCGGGCCTTTGGAGTGGCTGCTTCCTTCTACCTTGCCTGCCCTCTCTCTGTAGACTGGCTGGGTGTAAGGTGACCATCTGCCAAGGTCAGGCACAAACAGCACTTCCCCCAGGAAGCGTTCTAGGATTACTCCTTTCCCTCAGCTCCAACTGTCCTCTCTCATCCAACAATAAAAAATCACATTCACTGAGTGCAGATCAAATCCCAAGCCCTGGATGCAGGGTGCTGTAAGCACAGAAGGTCCAATCCTGAACCCCAGAACCAGCCAGTGAGAGACGGTGAAAGGTGATGAGTGTGGTACAGTGACTAGAAGACCACAGGCCAGCCACGTGACCTGGGCAACGTATTACACCTGTCTGTCTCCTCATCTTCGCAGGTTTATGCCAAGATTAAATGATGTGATACATGTAAGTGCTCAACCAGAAGCCAGGTGCCACCATGAAGTGCCTACTAAACACTATCATTCTTGTCCCTGTTGTAAAGATGGGGGAGTTGAGGTTTAGACAAATTGAGTGCATGGTCCAATGCAAAGCCATAGGACCATGAAGTAGAAGGCCAAGAGTCAAACTTGGGTCTGCCAGACTTCAAAGCCGGTTTCTTTCCCCTCTATCTCTTAGGACACTGGCATTTGCTCCCTTTTAATGTCCATCATTACAGAAGAGCCCCATATCCCCCAGAAGGGATCTGTGTTACCTCTACGCACCTGCTGCGTGTCCCTGCTACCCTGCCCCCTGCACATCCCATGGAGCATCCAGCAGCCTGTGCACTCAAGGAGGGCAGGGACTATCCCCAGCACTGCCCAGCACAGACCCTGCACACAGCAACTCAGAACTCATGCCTCTGATTGCCCTGACCCTGATCTTTGAGGCCAGGACTACATCTAATGCATTTCTGAGTCCCCAGCATCATCCACTGCAAGGCCAGGCACCCCTGAGACTATGAAGACAGGGGCTGGACGGGACTCCCCACTGGGCACAAGAGAAAGAAGCCAGCGTTCTGTGAACCCAATGGGAAAAGGCAAGAGGCCAAGGCAGAGACAGAACTGGGAAAACCCCACCAAGGAAGGTCCCAGGCCACCAGGCCCCCGGAGGAATGGGACAGGCCCTAGTCTGCCCCACCTGGCCTCAGTGCTTGGGCTGGTTTCTCCGTGGCTGAGGCACCACCTCTGTGCTGCTAAGACAAGGTCACTGGCACTAGTAGTGTAATTGCCTGAACGCCCCCACCTGCCTCACTCTCCCCAACAGTGGGTCAGTGAGGCCTCCTCCGTGCTGGCATGGATCTTAGCACTCACTGCCAAGGTCCTGGCCTTCTGCGAAAGTCACCTCTGCTTCTCCCACTATGCTGGAGGTCCCCTGGAATGAGGCGCTGGGTCTCAAAGTCTACCAAACCAGCCTGTGGCCCTATATGTAGGAGTCCTATCAGGCAGATAGCCCAGTACCTAGTCCAATGACTGACATGTTATGAGGCCTTCAGAACAGCCTGTCTCTCCCAGGCCCCGACCTTGACCAAAAGGAATAAGTCAACTGAGGCAGCAGTACCCCAGCTCTGGAATCACATGCAGACTTGTATTGTGATGCTGCTGTCAGGCCTAGGGTTCCCAAGTGCCAGCCAGAGCCTCTGTCCCGTCCCCCAAAATGAAAGTGACCACCTCCATCCCAGGGCCTTCGAGAACTTAGGACAGTGAGTACCAGGCACAGGGACAGGCGCCTGCCAAGTGCTACAAAAGCAAGAGTCGTCATATCTGCAGCCTCCCCACACCACAAAGGTCCCAGAGTCCAGCATAGGCCTCAGCAGGCTGTAAGCCTTGGGAAGCAACAGAGGACAAATGAACAAGGTTTGGGGAGGCCTGTGAGACCCATCTGATCATGGGTGTCCCAAAAGCTACATGTGCCCAGCAGTGATCATCTAAGAAAGACTGACTCCTCCCAAGAGAGATCACTACCATCTTCTCTTAAGTCCCAGGGTCCTCTTGGCCAGTTCCTCCTGTCTCTCAAAATATGAAATCTCCTCTGTACATCCTCCTCAACCACAACATCCCTTGCTCTGGGCTCCAAGAGCTCCCAGGATCATTCTGGCAAATCTCCCCATTCTTCTGCCCAGTGCTTATGGGTACTATGTCTCCCTCACAGGTCTGAGCTGCTCCAGGGCAGAC